AGGCTACCTGGGCGCTGGTAATTGTCTAGTTCGTGTTTATCGACTAAGATGAACTCGTAATAGCTTCAAGCGTACCAAGTGACGAACATAACAAGCATACAGTCTGATTTTAGTCCACTTTAGATGCTCACCTCTAGATTAGGATGATAATAAGTGCTGTAAAGAGTATGCAGCTGATTGTTACTTACCGGGGAACTACCTTGCTTTCATCATACTCCTACACAGTTTGACTTTTACTCTTATCTTTATCTTTCTCCAGCTGACCAACGTAGCACCTCAAGAAACGTAGTTCAACCTGTACTACTCAATCAGGTTATAGTGATGTATAAATCCCCATCACTACGTCAAATTAGCAGCTACAGTCGGAATACTACACACTGAAGCATAGTGCAATATTATAACGGAACATATTTGTGCTATGAGTTACTTACATCTTGAAGGTTAGTTTCGTTACTTAGTGGAACTGGTGGTATTGGTTCTTGAAATCGATCAGTTTTGTAGCCAATATCTAAAACTGGTACCTAATTATATGTGATCCAAAAGGAAATGGTCAAAGGACTGAGCTCGAAGAGTTTAGTGAACAATATATACTTTATTGTTGAGAAACTGCCGGGGACATACAGAAACTCTTAGAGCTAAAGTAAAACTGTCGTTTGTTATTATGTGGAGCTATTGGGTTGTTCACACACACTAACTGATTTGTTCCCTAAATTATACGTGTCTTCAAGTGTAATTTCTCCCAACTGAGATGTCACTACAAGAAGTACCGTACTACAATGTCAAAATAGTGGACTACTTGTAGGCAGTGCTACGGTGACGATAATTTCATTGGCTCGAACACTGTGACGAGGCATTTTGATAACTAGGGTCAATTGTTGAGTGATCCTGGATATCAAAAGCGTCAAATAAACTTAGTAGCTGAATGAATTGGAATGTTTTATTGAAAATCGAACACATTGACAAAAAGGTCTTCCGTAGCAGACAACCAGATTCCAGCAGAAGCGCTGGACATGGATAGGATACACATCACGTAAAGCACCCAACTGTTTCGTGAGACAAGCCCTCACTTAGAAGCCCCAAGGCGAAAGGAGAAGAGGAAGACCAAAGAACACATTACGCCGGGAATTGGAGGCAGTCATGAAAAGAATAAACACCGACTAGATAGAACTGGAAAGGAGGTCCAGGACAGAGTTGGTTGGAGAATGCTGGTCGGCGGCCTATGCTCCATAGGAGCTAACATGAATAAGTAAGTAAAACAGTAATGTCTTGCGACTCCAGAACAATGTAAACTTTCGATCATAAATTACTTCATCATAGTTGATACACTTTAGATACTAAAACTCATCTTCAATCTCCTATTTGTCCGGATAGTCTTTCAATGTAGTCAACGCAACCTTCCCGACTGTAGCTGCTACCTTGATGTGGTGGTCGGGCTTGCCTATCCTGATGGCCCAAACGAGCTAGATTGGCTGGAACATATGTTCCTGAAGGTTCTACCATGCCAGACAGGTCGATTAGAGAACGTTAAGACTCAAGGTCTGAGGGCGAAGTCGTACTGCTGACTGCAGAGGGGTACGACAGCAGTAAAGTGCCTCCCTCGGAAAACCTGCATCTGCAGCGATACTGCTTTCTCACAAGGAACAAAGAGATTAGAAAAGGTCGACCCTAAAAATGTCACACCTCAACTTACCTGACAGATTACTGTCTCCGGCGGCAAGGCCTTTTAAACAAGAGCGGAGCTAACACTTTAAATACCACCCATAAAAAGGCCGTGCGTGACCCGTCTCAAAAAGTTGCCCCTTGGGCTTTGCAGTCACGCTCCCAGGTCTCTACGGCCAGCACTAATATACGTTCCCTTTCAGGTTCCTCCAGAAACACCCTTCCACAGTGTGGGCAGCCGGGAAGTGACACCCGCTCTCATACCCGTAACAGCACACAAGACTAAATTGGTCACAATCAAATCCTTTCAACACTTTATGTACAGCCAACCAAGAGTGACCGAACAAGAAGTTTATTTGATAATCGTCAGAAATGTCCGACAGGACGAATGTATTGATCAAGAAGTCGATTCATTTTCTAAGGGTATCTCACACGCTCAGATATCAAACACCGCTCATTACAACAACAATACTCATCAATCTTTTTATCAACCAATTCGATAAAATATTCGCTTTTCGATTTGAAATTCAATCAACGAGTGATCAACCAACTGTGTGTATATATCGGATGGAGTTACATTTGGACAAAAAACAACTCGAATTTCATCAAATTATCAGGGCAAAATATTTTGTGATGATCAACTCATTATTTATGATCGAAACGATTAACCGTACACTTAAAATGCTTCCATTTTTTCTTCTTCTAAGCAATATTCAACTGTTTTGTAAAATTTCCAAAAACTCCCTTAATGATGATGTAACTGTTAGAATATTCATCCAATATCCTAAGAGAATTATTTGTACATCTAATTCTATTGGTCATCCTAACTATCAATGTCACAGACTTCATTGTAACGCTTGCTTATATAATTCCCAGCTAAATCCTATTGCTCAGTGTATTCTCTGACCACAAACAATACATTGGACAAGTTCCAAAGAATCAAAAAAACACAGTTGAACAGGAAAAGATTATATTCCAAAATAGCAAGGTTAAATGGAAATAAGAAGCCAAAGGTGATGGCAAAGGCGAAAATAGATACAACGTTAGTCTATTTATAGCATTTACATGAGAAGCTTCTGGATAGAAGTTCACGTGATCAACTGAATTAGATTTAGCCAATCAGCCAGCAGGCAGCTAACAGTACGAGAATTATCTACCCTGTTCTCCAAGACTCGATCAGACGCTGATTAGATAGGAAATTAGCCAATCAGCGCGCAGCTAACGCAGTCATGCTTTATTTCCATCTATGTCCCACTAAAAGACTTCAATGTTGTTTCCTATTCGACCTAACTGTATAACTATGCATTATCTGTAACGTTTTATGACCTGGATCCTTATCCTCTTCTGGACACAGACGTCGTATCTTCTGGATGGCTTGTAGAGTACACGTTCTACTTCATATCAAGCATACTTCTTCTACTAAATGGGGGTTTGGAACACTCGGATTAGACTAGCCTGTCATGTCGCCGGATCATCGATCCTCCTCGCTCTCGTTTACTGACTAAGGCGAACTCGTAATAATAGTTCAAGCCTATCAATTGACATGTTTACATACAATTCGTAACAGTAACCCTTCCTTCTGCACAATAAAAGCCAATCTTCTGTAGCATACAAAACACATCACATCATATCACATAACACCATCAATGATAAATCAAAAAATACATATATATATTTCATACGTTTATTTCTTAATCAAATGATATTTTGAAATATTATGACGACTATGCAATAATACAAAGTCAGGTTGATTGGTCGGTAGTTTTCAGCTCGTTTTTTCTTTTTCGTAACAACAGTTTTATCAAAAAATTATTGAAATTTACAAAAGACTAAGTTTATGCTCCATCATTAAATGAGGCAATCCAATAGATTCAGAATCTTCAGCAGCTGTAAAAAGGAAAAGAAAAGAAGAAATTCGTGGAGCGATAGTCACAAAAAAAACGTATCAGTCAGTCAATCAGTCATTTAGTCAGTTAATGACAATGTACAACTTCTTACGTACGTAGGTACACGTACATACATTCAAGTTGCCATACCACATCAGCACAGAAACGCGAATGTCACTTCGAATCCCATAATAGCAGAGATAGTAGAAGTATTAGCGGTAAAGGAGGAGATGGAGATTAGGGTTTGGAGATATTATTCAAGAAGTATAATTCAGTGAAATAAATTCCGAAACGAGAAAGATGAAGGTTATGAGGACTTCAAAAGATTAGAATTTCATAACACACAAAGAGTGGATGCATCTGCGCCAATGCAAACGATTTTGAGCCATATCGTTCACGGTCTGTAACCATCAGTTACTATCGTCTCACAGACCCCAACCATTGTTGAGGATGTTAGATCCCCAAAACTCGCTTGTTAAATGTTTTATTTTGGATTCTACGTTTCCCAGCATGGGCTGATCGGTTGACCTTGAGATTTCAATCCGCACCAGGAAAATCCATGGCTGTGATTGGCTGCTGTGTATTTATTTTAGTGTGCTATTTTTGCGACTGTCCCAAGGACGTTTCTATGATGTATAAATAAACGAGAGATGTGTGCTTGATTGTATTGTGATTGCTGGGTCTTTGTAGAATATACTTTCTACGCTTACAAAGCCTTCTTACTTCCGCTTGTGTTTCAAGGTAGCCGACCTAGACGCTGGTAATTGTCTCGTTCGCGTTTATCGATTAAGGTAAACTCGTAATAGCCTCAAGCATACTCACTGACGAACACAATAAATGGCGACGGTGGTTTTGGAAATATGGATCCTGCCAAACTTGAATTATTACTTGAGCAGCAGCTGAAACTGATGCAGATGTTAACAGACATGAAGATTTCCCATCATAACACAGAAAGAGTGGATGCACCTGAGCCATTGAAAATGATTTTTAGCCATATCGTTCAAGGTCTGTAACCATCAGTTACTATCGTCTAGCGGACCCCAACCAAGTAGCCTACATCTAACAACATGACTCAGTCCACTTATCAGTGACTTTATGGATTTCTGCCATGTCCTTGGTTTGGCCGCCTCTACCTGCCCAATCGATTACTACAGAAACTGTCATAATACAATTTATATGAACCATAGATTTCTTGTTAGAAGTAGACAGTGAATAGAAAATTACTGGTGAGAAGAAAATGGTAACAGATGACAGCTTATCATCTTACGGTAATTTCAAGTTCTCCAGTAATCATATTATTGTTGATACTAACAGGCTGTATTTATAAAACAATTCTCAACATCGACGAGACTGTCTCTATTTCAAGTTCTACTCTAACAATCAATTATTCGACTTAAATCATGAACTGATCAAAGCTAGACTACTGTTGAAAACCTGGTAGTTCTGAACAGTCGTTTTTTTCTTAGTATGGGACTCATCAGTGGTAGTGCGTACACACGGACTGCATCGAACGCACGACTTCAGTCTGGCGTGAGAACGCTTAACCACGTGACCTCTTCCGGGTCATGGATGCTAGGACGAAACGGCTGTCAAGTGCTTCCAGGTTTTTAATGATGGTCTAATGTTCATCAAAACATGACTTTAGTGGGACTCAACAATTTCTAAAACCCTATACTAACAGTTCGTAGTATACGTAGAAGCTTGAAAATAGAAGGCAAATACATGTAAGGCACTTTTTCTTTACACGCATTATTTTGGATAAATGCTGATCGTGAGAACAGCCCACGCATGATCAGTTCAAAATATACTTTCCCTTAATCGTACAGTCGAACAACTGGGTCACAGACAATAAAACTGTGGGAACACTGATCACTTTATGTCATAAACACTATACACACTCATTAGATAGCTGGATAAAGTGTTCAGTTAAATCATTAGTCAGTCAGTCAGTTACAACGTAGAACTTCGTACGTATGTACATAAGTTCAGGTTGCCACACCACATTAGCACAGAGACGCTAATGTCAAATCAAATCCCATTGTGATAAAGATAGTAGAGGTATTAATGGTAATGAAGAAGACTAGGGTTTGAAGATATTATTCGAGAAGTATAATTCAGTGAGACAAGTTTAAAAACACAAAACTAGAGTTGTTGAAAAATCCAGAAGATTAGAATTTAAGATAACACAAAGAATAAATGCACCGGCGCCATTGCAAACGGTTTTAAGACACGCCATTCAGGGTCTCCAACTATCGATTATTATCATCTCACGGACCCTAACCAGGTAATCAACACCTACAAACATGACTCAGCTCACTTGTCAGTGATTTTATGGATTTGTGCCATGCTTCGGTCTGGCCGCCCCTAACTTTCTTCCAACCTACTCCTACAGTCAGTCAGATGCAACGTAGAACTTCGTACGTAAGTACATCAGTTCATGTTGCCATACCACCAAATTAGCACAGAGATATAATTGTCAATTCAAATCCAATAGTAGTAGAGGTAGTAAGGGAATTAGAAGTAATCGGAGAGGTTAGGGTAAGAAGATACTATTCAAGAAGTACGATCAAATGAGAAAAGTTTAGAGAGTCGAAACTAGATGTGTTGAAGAATCCAGAAGATTAGGGTTTGAGAGAACACAAAGAATAAATGCACCGGCGCCATTGCGAACGATTTTGAGCCATGTCATTCAAGGTCTGTAACCATCGATTATTATCATCTCGCGGACCCCAACCAGGTAGTCTACATCTACCGACATGACCGTCCACTTGTCAGTGACTTCATGGATTTCTGCCACGTTTCTGGTCTGGCCACCCCTAACTTTCTTCCAACCTACTCCTACACAACAAAACAAAGTTCGTCGAGGCAGTTGGTGGTTCGGCATATGCAAGACATGTCCCAACCACCTCAACTGATGGAGTTTCACTAGTTCATCGATTGATCTGCCATCCTTGCCTAGTACTCGTTTCCTAACGATAGCATTGCTTACTCGGCTGTCCCACGATATACGAGCAATGCTTCTTAAAAATCTATGATCGAAAACCAGTAACCTACGAACATCTACTCTTAATGGCCATGTTTAACAGCCATATAGGAGAACGGAGCGAACTGCTGCGCAGTGCAGCCGTCCTTTGGTTAGCGAACAGATGTCTCGCCTACGCCATAAGTGACGTAGATTGGCAAAAGCCAATCGAGCCTTCTGTATCCGAGCTGAGATTTCGTCAGTCGCCAGCCTATCAGCGCTGATGAGACTACCCAGATAAGTGAATTGATCAACACGCTCGACTACTTCACTCCCTTTCACTAGTTCAGGTGCTGATGCAACCCAATCTTGAAGCAACATTTTGCATTTCGGGGGGGGGGACCGCATCTCGAACATGCTTGCATTGTTGCTCAGGGTAGTAACAGCACGCGAGACCAAATTGGTCAAAATCAAACCCTTCCTACACCCCTAATATATCTCTCTTATCTCCACGACTAACTCTACTCACATTCTTTTATCTCAGTTAAATCATGGCTACATGTCAATGAATTCAATTTTAACACACAAGAATATTAGATAAGAAAAATTAACCAAAGAATAAATGTGGTGTCAAATCATAAAACAATACTACCTATACACAGTGGTAACATTTATGACACTAGAAAAAAAACTGATTAAATTATCGATTCGCATTGATTCAAACAATGTGTAACAAAATAAAAACATACATCACTGTGACGTTTTTTCATGATAGCAAAATCTACTTACGATTAATAAAATCAGCTACATCAATCTCATCTAAACTACCACTTAATTGACTAGCCAATGGATGATGCGAATACAAACCAGGCAGACGTGGTTGAATACGTTGCATAATGCGTTGTTCCATCGAGAGACGTAACGGTGCATGTAAACCTTGTGAAGAGGCTAACACTTGCATTCGATTAGCTTTTTCAGCTGCTTTACCAAATTTTGCAAGAGATTCAGCGACGGGATGTGGAAAATTAGTTGAATCAGCTACTTTCGACCCAGGAATAGCAGCTAATGATGATGCTTCTCCACTGGACCATACAGTGGAACCGACTACATCGCCTAGCCTGTTGTTGTTGTAAGCACATAAACACACACGCACAAAAGAACAAAAACATATGCAAGTTGATCAATGTTGAATTTTAACGATTAATTCATCAGGTATTACATGAGTTTAGATCAATATTCAACCATATGTAAGCAAACAGTTAGTCAGTCAGTTACAACGTAGAACTTCGTACGTGTACGTACATCAGTTCAGATTGCCATACCACATTAGCACGCAGAGATGCAACTGTCACTTCATATCCCATAGTAGTAGAGGTAGTAGAAGTATTAACAGTAATCGGTTGCCATAACACATTAGCACACAGACGCAATTGTCACTTCAAATCCCATAGTAGTAGAAGTAGTAGCAGTAATCGGAGAGATTAGGGCTCGAGGATATTATTAAAGCAAGCGAACAAAATTACAGAAAGTTATACGTATATAATTCAGTCAGGTGCAACGTAGAACTTCGTACGTAAGTACATCAGTTCATGTTGCCATACCACATTAGCACAGAGATGGAATTGCCGATGAAACCCAATCTTGAAGCAACACTTTGCATTTCGAGGGGGGAAACCGCATCCCGAATATGCTTGCATTGTTGCTTAGGGTGGTCAGAAGACTCTGCATTTTGTCAGCGTTTTCACCAAATAGGACTATGTCATCGGCATATTCTAAGTCAATAAGCGATCTTCCTGGTAAAAGGTCTACTCCTGAAATACGGATATAATCTGTGATTGAGTAACCGTTTACTGGTTTAAAAATTGTTATATAATGCGAAACAATAAACTGTCTCAAGCACTGTTCTCTTTGCTTCACGGTTAAAATAGTATACAGCACAGCAAACAGGTTGACAAAACACTTATTACAGGCAAAACAACGACAAAGGGGTACAACATACTAATAACTTTCTAGAAACGATTAGAATATATAAAAGACGCATTATTTGGTTTGACTGCTGAACTTTTATCAGGTAACCCAAGTGTTTAGTGCTCAACAAATGCATAATTAATCTAGAACCACAGTTTTAAACAATCAGCTAGCACTAGTATCCCTATAGATTTTTAACTACTCGCTGACTTGTAAAAGGTACATGCCAACTTGTAAATAGATCCTCTAACGCCAACTTGTAAATAGATCCTCTAACAAATCATTTTTTCATCTGATATTGTAGAAAAGTAACATGTAGTTGCCCCCGAGACAGCTTGGAATGATTTCCAAAAATCTCTCAAAACAGCAGTGACATCTGCTAGTAAGGTAAACTATAAGGTTAGGGAGAAGCAGTGGATTTCAGTAGCATCCACCGAACTGATAGATGCTCGGAAACTCATCCTCCATGGCTCTGAACATGATGAGGAGAGGATTCAGATCTTCCATTTTGACGATTTTATCGTTGACTACAAGTTAGAGTACTTGAAATAAGTAGAAGCAAAGTAAAATGATAAGTTACAATCGTGAGATGATGCAATTCACTGTGAATTATCCAATTCATAATAGGTGAATGCGTACGGATATTATTTGAACGAAATGAGAAATTTTAAAAATTGATATTTCGAGCAAATGCCACCCCTAGTACAGCCGAGACAGTTCTCTGTTCCTCTCAAAATGCTCTCACATGAATATGCGTGTATAACCACTGGCAGGGAAGTCCAACTGATTGCCTTTTACAGTTATATGTGTCATTCAGGAAAACGAGACGAAAATAAAATATCTGGAGTGGGTTTCAACCGGGTTGGTGGGTACAGAGGATCTACCTAGTGGAGCTGCGATAATCGATAGAAACAACGTTTTCCAATTATTCAGCTATCATTCATTTTGTTATAAATCCATCATTCAGTCAATCAGCAACAACGTAGAACTTCGAATATCAGTTTGAGTTCACATTAGCAAAGATGCAACTGTCGATTCATAGTGGGGAGAGGTAGTAGAATTATGAGTAGTAATCGGAAAGATTAGGGTTTGAAGATGTTACCCAAGGAGTATAATTAAGTGAAATACATGTGTGAGAAGAGAGATGAAGACCATGATGAATAAAGATTAGAATTTAGGAGAACACAAAGAATAGATGCTATTAAGTCGTACGACTGATTTTAAGTGAATTAACTATTCTTCCGATCTACTCTAATGACAATTATTATAGTATGAAATATAAGAGTTTAATCAAAAAAACTGACATACCCAGTATACATAACTGGTCGCACAGCAAATTCAGGATGTAGCATTTTGTTCGCTTCTGACATATTGAAAGCCTTAAAAATTAAAAAAAATTTAGCAATATGTACTGATTTGTCACAACTTGTCGCGAAACAAAAGAGTTTAAAAATATTGATCGAAAAATGTACTGTAACCCTATTCCTTTTAAAAGCGAATTTTAATCCGTTACAGGTTGAAACTTAAAAACTGAGAGGTATTTTTAGCTGGACTCTGAACCTAAATAAATCTCTTAGGAAATGCTACCTAGTCATTGGCTAAACAAATCTTATTACTATTGTTTCATCACAAATGGTTTTTAATTCAAGTTTCTTGTTGAAGGTATCCATTAAGAGAGCTATAGTAGCTTCGGCTTTGTGAGTATTTGAAATGCACTCAACTCAATCAGAAAAAGTGTCGGCGCTACCACGTGTTCGCTGTTCGATGTGCAACTTTTCGGGGAGCGTAATGGTGATATTCTATTGAGATTTGTGTTAGGATGACTTGAATTACTTATCATGTTGTATGCCATAATCAGATCACCTCTCATTCTTCTATTGCTCAGCGAGAATAATCCCAAGTGTCAGGGCCTATCTTCGTACGATTTGTTCCCAAGCTCCATCACAAACTTAATCGCCCGTTGCCGTACTTGGCCTCAGAGCTTTTTTTATTCGGCGAGAGAGAAGGTGCAATAAAATTGTGGAGACAACATTTGGAATACAGTCATAGGAAATGCAACTGTTCACTTTGTGAGAAGAGAAATAGGCGCCATGACCCCACAATTGTCTTGACATTGTTTTGAAAGTACTCATGCTCTCCACAAGGTTGTTGCACGTTCTCTCTCTCGCCAAATAAAACAAATCTCTCAGATCGAGTATAGCGACAGGTGATTAAGTCGGTGTGGAGCTAAGAAAACAAATCTTGCGAAGATAGACCCTGACACTAGATTATTCTTGCTGAGCAATAGAAGAATGAGATATGATTTGATTATGCCATACAACATGATCAGTAATTCAAATCATCCTAACACAAATCTCAACAGAATATTACCATTACGCTCCTCCAAAGGTTGCACAGTTGAGCAGTACTTGACAAACGCGTTCCCATTTGTGGATTATCAGTTCATTCTTTCACTACCTATAACTGATGCATGTCTTGTAACCTATTTACTCTTATCATTAGCCCATAGATAATCACACACACACACATGACAATCATCGATCTTTTATTCTATCAGTCTTTTGACACTGCATGAGTAATCAGGTATCTTACTTCTTGGGAAAACTGTCTTTTCTTAGGACCCGAATAATCCTATTATTACTGTATAGGTTGCAGCTAAACAATTTCATCTATGGTAATGTGATCGCTGCTGATTCTAGAAACACTAGTGCTTTGAGACAAATGCTCTTACTCTAGTTACAGTAGGCACAAACTATCAAATAACTACCCACCTAGAACTGGCACAGTTGAGTGCCTCGACTACTATTTATCCGACATTACCGAAGACATGAAACCGCACAGAAACAACGATCAAAAGCATAGAAATCAATCAGTCGATAAAAGCCTGAACATATATATATAACATACTGGTTCAGATGAATACAAGGGGTTGACAGGAAACAACACCCAACTACCCAAACACAGTTATGGCTTTTAAATCACAAAGAAAATCAACTTTCAGTGTAAAATTAACCGACCTATTTGCACTGTCTAATATTCTAAGAAAAATATTTATCATAAACTAGACTAAGAGAAGTTATAACTGGATATAAATAAAGTCTAGAATCTTTTGAAGACATTAGTAGAGTTGTTCTGATTTGCAGGAAGTGAGTATAACCAATAATATTTGGAAACAATTCACTCAATTAAACTCACGATTGTAGACACTTACAAAGCAATAGTTTGAAATCCCGGAAATGCTGAGGTCGACAGAAGTGACAGTGTTCAATTTTGGTCTGCATAATCTTGTTATAAATTTTACTTGATGTGACCAGAAGGCTATAAATTCGGTGCTGATGCAATCAGTTAATACTCTCTTCTTATTGAACCTTCTCTCAAATACGTTAAGTCTTCCGATTTGTATACAAGCGAAACATTTTGTATCTCGAATATCCAATTTCTTTTTAACCAGCTAATATAAATCAGTCGATTTCTTTGCGTTCTATTCTTTTTCCTAAAGTCTGAAGTCTGCCTTACTTACTTACTTACTTACTTAATGACTTACTAACGTACTTACTTACGCCTGTTACCCCCAATGGAGAAAAGGCCGCCTATCAGTTTCCTCCAACCAACTCTGTCCTGGGCTTCCCTTTCTAGTTCTGTCCAACTTTTGTTTATTCTACTCATATGTTTCTCTATTTCTCAGCGTAATGTGTTCCTTGGCCTTCCTACCTGAGGGTTCCATGTGAGTGCTTGTCTTGTGACGCAGTTAGGTGCTTTTCGCAGTCTGTCCTATCCACTTGCACCGCTTCTCCATGATTTCCTTCTCCACTGGAATCTGGTCTTTTCTCTCTCACAGTAAGTTATGGCTGATAGTGTTTGACCAGCGAATCCGAAGTATTTTGCGAAGATGGCTGTTCATAAATACTTGTATCTTCTGGATGACGGCTTTCGTAATTTTCCAAGTTTCCGCTCCATACAGTAGAACTGCCTTGACATTTGCATTGAAAATCCTGATTTTGGTGTTGGCTGATATTTGTTTGGAGTTCTAGATATTTTTCTGGAAGTCTGCCTTAATCAATTGAAAAATCGGCTGTAGTAAAGACTGTGGGGAATTGTTAAATTTACTGTGAGACCGAATATTTTTTTGTGCTCAAAAACAATCTAACAGTAGAATACTGAATGCTTAAAATCAGAGTTCCTCCTTATTTTTTGTAAAACTGCCTGACTGATTTGGAATGGTATTAATTCGTTAGACTTACAAATTCCCATCCGTCATCACGGTAACCATAGTTTAAAATTATCTAGAGAAATTGCCTATTTACGAGTTACATGGAAAGCGGAGGACTGTTTGAAATTCCTTGATGCTTTGTGTTTGCCCTCTACCTCCAAGAAACCTAGCATGTTAGCTTATTCCATAACTGTCATTTATAAAGTAGACCAGTTTTTTTTAAATAAGCTTTGCTTCTCTGAAAAACGCTTTATATTCCTAGTAAAATACCTAAGAGATTAGCAGTGGCTCATATTCACGCAATATCATCGGAAACCTGTGAAATAGCACAGTTCAACACATCAGTTCGTTTTCCAAATCCAACCGTCGGCGCTTTCATACAACAGCTTTAGGCCATTAGCTACTAAAACAATGAATAAATATGATTTAGGGCGCGAAATCGGCCAAATGATAATCAGGATCCTCATTGTTGTTTCAACGTGAGCTTCTCATTACAAGATAGAGGAATTTACATGGTACGAAAAAGACTGAAGAGTGTTTCCGAATGAGTGAGCAAAATATGTTCGATTAAAGGTGGATGGAAAAATATCTATCGTTTAGGGTTTTGAAACTCATCTTTTGCAATTATGTTGTATCAGTAAAGAAACGCTACATAAATCACAAGTGTTAGTGCTTCCCTAAACTAATATTTGCAAAATCCGTTGGGTTATATGTATGGTTAACAAACTACTATTAATGCACCGTCTGGGCAATTCGGATACAAACTCTTACTTTTTGAGTCAAAATTTTCGACTGTGACAGTCGATAAGGTTACCGGTTTTGGTGGTGTTTATTCGTTCGAAGATGATGTTGTAGTCTATACTGAAAACATTGAGTTGCGCGATGTCTTCTAAAATCATATAGACGCTATTGTAGTATACTTGAGAAGATAATCAACATCACAGATGGAATAAACTACGTCGCAACGTGAAACTTATATTTATGAGTTAAGTATGTCCTGACTTAAATAAACTAACATCCCCTCTAGGGTTATCCATTATTCTAATCCCGGATTAAGCTAGACAGCTTGGACTTCACAGATGACCTAGCTTTTATATCTTACACACAGCAACAACTACATATGAAGACGGTTAGCAGCGTCTGCAGTTTTAGATGGAAACACATGAGTAAAAGTAAGAACAGTGGTTCAACACAACATGTGCCAATCAAGTCACACTTGATTGAGATGCTTGTGAAGATCCAAAAGACTTCAAACGTTGAGTTACAGACTTGCAAAGCAAGAGCAATATTCCCTCATTTGGAGAACATCTGGAATTGAAGGCGACTATCGACCAACACAAAAGGAAAGTTGTCACTACAGTTTTCAAGATCTCTCTATTGTATGAAACTGAGACTTGGTGTTATTGGGACATAGATGGAATCAAAGCACGACTACGTTGCTGCGCGCTGATTGACCAAATTCCTATCCAATCAGCGCCTGATCGAAGCTTGGAGAACAGGATAGAAAATTCTCGTATTATTAGCTGCATGCTGATTGGTCAAATCCAGTCCAGTAGATCACGTGAATTTTCTTCCAGAAGTTTTCTCATGAAAAGGCTATAAATAGACTAGCATTGTATTTATTTTTGCCTTCTAGCCTTCTTGCCTTCTTCGCCTTGGCTTTCGCCATCACCTCCGGCTTCTTTTCCTTGCTATTTTGGAATACAATCCTTCCTGTTCAACCGTGTTCTGATTCGGGTTACTTGTCCAGTGTTTTGTGTCAATAATACTAAGCAATAAGATTAGGCCGGGAAATATCTTAAGCAACCGTTACAACACTTGGGTAACAATGAAAGCCGTCGGCCACAAGATACAGGTATTTTACGATATTTGTCTATGTAAAACACTCCAAGTATGTGGGACAGAACAGCTAAGGAAGAAATTGGGAAAAAACCCTAAACTAGCAAGCATACCACTTCGAATACACAGACTACCCAGTATGAACGTACAGAAATCTTACGATTTGTTTCCGTGTTTACATACATCTAGGAGTACAATCCACGGATTGGTTACTAAAAGTGTATTGTGGAAGGTATCTAATCATACAGAGACGACTATCCTGTCAGTAACTGATAATGGAACCCATCTCATTACAGTTAATCATCACAATTACCTTTCACTATGTTTGACTAACTGCAATATTGTGCGTCAGCCTGTCACACTTTCTTGAGATCGAAGCATATCTTTATTAAATGACTAATTTACAAATTGTGTGTCACCCACAGACAATCACTTTTCGAGATGCCTGCACCAGACTGAAAAACTTTTGATTCATTCATTAATTCTGAGTTAGTTTGTTCATGAAACGCATTCAACTGATACACTACGAAATAAAAACCAAGGTACCAAATATATTTTGGTAAATTACGACCGATTAGCCCAAGTATCTTATCCTAATAACAAATATGAAAAATTTATTAATATGTCCTCATTTTTCAGGATTCTAGATAAAATTTCGAAAGGACCGAATCAAACAAGTGAAGCTGCAAATGTCGAAGGTCGAAAGTCCAAAAAGTATTTCACAGTCTGAGTAAGACAAACAAATTCTAAATCTATTAAAATAATGGGTTGGTAATTAAACACTTCGAAATCCTATCGTAATATTGCCGTTAACGTTTCCATCAAATTATCCCCTCCTTGTCAGTATTGCTTGCTTGGCATTCTCAGACAGTACAGTAGTAGCATTGCCGTTGATGCTCATATGTCGCTTATATGTGAAATTTCCCTAAAGTTCTCACGAAATTCCCAGAGACGAAAGATTGTAATGAGATAAAAAAAAGTACGACTGTTAAGTAGTATTCGAAATTCACCGATATTAGAAAGTTAAACATGTTAATATTCCACCCAATTTATCTGATCAATGTTGCCCGCACTGTTTTTGCACTAACAACGGGAAATTTCAACTTTAGTCTGGGGAATAAGTGGTTTGACGTTGTAAAGAAATAAAATGAATAACTTAGATTCTTAGACTGCAAATGACCTGGAATAGTTGTACAACAAATATTTTCGACTTAACGATGTTCAACAACCTTAATCTTCATACAGTTT